GCTGCCTGAGTGAGGGAGAGTGATAATAGATAAAGGCAGCCTTGCTGCATCAGTACATTTACTCCACTCTTTATCTCCCTCGCATCCAGGAGAGAGATAAGTTCTACATGTCCCGCATTGTGGTGTTAGAGCTTCTGCAGGCTCTCAAGTTCAAGTCTCCTCTGCCCGACACAAACTTGCTACTGCTGGTCCAGGTAAAAAGAAATTGCTTTATGCACTTCAGTTTGCAAGAACCAAATAAATCACGTTTTTTTTTCTCCTGAATACTAATGTAAAATCTGCTATGGAATTTTTCAGTTTGTTTGTGCAGATATTGGTACACGTCTAGCAGAATCCACCATCATCCAAAAGCACATGATCTTAACACTGCCGGGGGTAAGACGTTATAGGATCGGTGTTTGGATCGTATTAGAATCAGCCTCATTAAACAGCGGGAAATAATTACAGCTCCCAACTGGGATTCCTCCAAAAGTATAAACTGTTTTTGTTCGCTACAGTGCACAACAGCAGCGATGGAATGCATGAGACAATACATCAGTGAACTCCTGGACTTTATCGCAGATATGCACACACTAACCAAACTAAAAGTAAGTCTCGTTCTTCGAGTGACTGACTGAAGTAATAGTTTCGTTTTTCCCCCCACGTTTTGCTTGTCATTCAACCTTATCTTTTCTTTACTCCAAATGTGTCACTCAGAGCCATATGAAGGCTTGCTGTCAGCCGCTGCATGAGGACACTTTTGGAGGGAACCTAAAAGTGGGCTTGGCCCAAGTCGCCGCTATGGAGATCAGCAAAGGAAATCACCGTGACAACAAGGCGGTGGTCCGTTATCTTCCTTGGCTTTATCATCCGCCATCCACCATGCAACAAGGGTAAAAATGACTAAACACGCCAGTCCAGCGAATTTACATGATAACATATCTCCTCACATATCTCTGGCAGTATTAACCATAATTAGTGCAGGCTGTGAGATATCAGTCCATAACAAATAGTGAGAAATCACCCAGTTTGGGGATTTAACTAGGGTGAACACAAATGTTAGTAAGGTTAACTGATGGTGAAACATATCTACAATCCTGACAGGTATGAGAATAAAATTAATCAAAATGTTGTTTCTCCGCAGGCCAAAAGAATTCATCGAGTGCGTGTCCCACATCCGTCAGCTGTCCTGGCTACTTTTGGGCTCCCTGACACACTGTGCCCTGCACCAAGGCTCCCCCTCATGCATGCCCATCCCTCTAGATGCAGGCTCCCACATCGCTGATCATCTAATAGTCATCCTCATCGGTTTCCCGGAGCAGTCAAAGGTGTGCAGGAAAGCAATCCCTTCAAATTAGCCCAGGTTTAGTTCATATTGATCCACAACCTCCTCACTGGCCTTTTCTGTTTTGGTCTCGATCTTTGTGCCCAGACGTCGGTGCTGCACATGTGCTCTCTTTTCCACGCCTTCATGTTTGCCCAGCTGTGGACCATCTACTGCGAGCAGGCGGCCGCTGCTCCGTCCCTGCAGAACCAGAACCAGACAGAATTTTCCTCCAACGCCATCCTCACTGGCCTGGAGTTCTGGAGTCGGGTTACACCCAGCATCCTGCAGCTCATGGCCCACAATAAAGTGGTGAGGGCTCTGCTTGTTTAAGGCAGGTAAGGTAGAACAAATGTGCCTGGACATGTCGGTGATTAAAATCCTGTTTATTTTTCTCTTAGATGGTAGAGATGGTCTGTCTTCATGTCATTAGTCTGATGGAAGCCCTGCAGGAGTGCAACTCAACCATCTTTTGTCAAGGTTTACCATATATTTGGTATTTCCCGCAATGGGTTAATACACGATTTGTAACACATTACGTAATATGTATTCATTCTCACTTCTTCCTATAGTTAATCCCCATGTGGCTACCCATGATTCAGTCCAACCTCAAGGTAAGGCTTTCAAAAAAGGTTGACACTGAATAAAATGCAATTTAATGTTGTTGATGTCAGACTAAAATATTCCCATCTGCCGATCCGTCCGCTCAATAGCATCTGTCCGCGGGGCTGCAGTTGCGTCTCCAGGCCATCCAGAACCGTGTGAACCACCAGTGTCTGCAGAGCCAGGCATCCGGGCCCCCTCCGTTCGCGCTGCGTAAATGGCTGCAGTGCACCCAGTTCAAGATGGCTCAGGTGGAAATCCAGTCATCTGAGGCCGCCTCGCAGTTCTACCCCATGTGACCTGCTCTGCGGTCGCCGTCGGATCCGTCTGAGTCCCTCAGACCTGCATGCACCCTCTCTGGACAAAAAGGACTGTAAAATGATGTTGTGGGATTCTCTTGGACTGGATTCATTTTGCGCATCTTTAGTATAATACTTGTATATGTACAGTAAATCTATGCTATTTTAAAATGCTATGACTGGAGCTAGTAATTAAAGGTTTGTGGGAGTTAATTGCATCAGGTGCTTCACTTCAACAGATTTGAAGAGTCAGAGAATTTCTATAAAACCCATGTTAGTATTAGTGAGGGTATGAAAGCAAATGCTTGTTGAATCCTACATATGCTCACTCTGTTATGTTCATATTTTATCACTTTTTAAGTTGCTTGGTTGCAAGCTGCATAATAAAAGTACAATTTTTTTCTAAACACTTTGTCATTTCACATCAATTGCAGACACCTTTCAAATTCAAATGTGACATTTCCTGCCCTTTGATGTCCTGGCTGATGTGGAAAATGTCCAGTTTACCATAATGCAGATGGCAGAGCGATAAAATCGGCTCTGTTGTTTTTTCCTCCTGGACAAAAAACTGAACCTCTGGTGTGTCGGGGAAAATGACATGATATGCATTACTCAGCTCCCGTCTAAGATCCTTGTCGGACTGTCAGTCACGCTGCCTCTCGCCATCAGAGCTCCGATCAATCAGACCGACCCGAGTCGCAGCAGCAGCTTTGTAACTCGATAAGGTGGAGCCAGAAATTGGAGCAAAACAAGACTAGTTTTTGTTGTGCCCCTCCTCCCCGGCCCGAGGGGGGAAAGCCCACCCCACATCTCCATGCCCCTCTTCATTGGCAGCAGCGAAACAGATTGGCCCACGCATATACAAAGCAAACACAATTACCTGCGGCCTAATGTGGTTTGTTGGGATTAAGCATTGTTGTGAGGTCTAACCACATTACCACGAAGCCCTCGTCTGAGAATAACAGATGACATGACAGCAGGGCAAGAAAGTCCAACAGCACATTAATCTTGGTTTTGATCTTCGCCGCTGCCAAGATTTCATTATCATACTTTAAAATGAATTAGTTCTGATGGTATAAATGTATTTGGCAAGAAGAAATTGGTTTATCGGACAAAAATAAGTCGAATTTGATTTGCATATACTTTTTAAAAATGGGCTTTTAGTCACTGCATGTGTAAGCGGACCTATGTTAAGAGGTGTGTGGCAAATGAGTCACAAGTGCAATGATATCCCACAGTGTGACTAATGAACACAAACGCGCAAGCGCACACACTCACCCACACACACATACTCCCCGGTGACCCCCGCGCTCGCTGAATCAGGCTGCAGTGCCCCTTCTCATCAACCTCTCGTCTTGGCTCATCAAAGAACCGCCCTCCTGCTGTGTGCCTCAGCGTGTGCGAGTGTGTATTAAAGTGATGCTGGCTGCAGGTGTGTATGTGCATGTATTGTGCACAGGTGTGTGTGTGTGTGTGTTTAATCAAGTCCCCTTGCTATGTGGTTGCATCTGTCAGCCACTGCCACCGTTGTGATCGTTTGAACTCGCAGCCCTTTGCGAAAGAACCTTCTCTCATTAGCAGCAGCTTATGTAATCAGGTTCCCACAGGTATCCAGCGCGTTCCCCGCCCCTGCCTGCCTCCCTTCCCTGCCTACGGCCTCCTGGAGGACCGTATGGAAGCGCTGACCTGATGAGCAGGCAGCTGAAGGTGGTGAGGGTAATTAAAGCTGACCAAAGGCCTCTCAGGCAGAGAGGGCGGGAGTGGGTCCTCAAAGATGGTGAAGGTCAGTTTTGAAAGGACTTTGCAAGCTCTCATCCTCACAGGCTCGCATGCGCCACCATGATGTATCACCAGGTGTGTGCATTGGTGACACATCCTGATTAAAAGGCAGGTTGAGCGAGACAGCCTCGTGCAAAGTGCAGCACATTTTTTTGGTGCAGAAACAATTTTAAGAACCCAGATAATTTAAAAAAAAAGATGTATCAGCGCCCTTTTGCACCATGGAAATACCTTCCAAGAGGCTCACAAAACTTGTTGAGACGGTGACAATTCCTGGTCCCCCCCTACTGCTGTCACATTGCTTTTATTATAGTGAAATCCACAGCGCCCTGGCTGAACAATGCATGAATGTTTAAATTGCTCAGTGTCCATCGACATTACCATCAAGTGGCACATCTCAAGCAGGGCAGGCGAAGCACTCTATGGTTCCTCATTCACATTATAATTCATCGACATTCCTCTTCAGTGCTCCTGCGCATCAGAGTACAGGTTTGTATCCTTGTTTGTTTCACATGATTAACTACAGTTAATGTGTAATGTGCAAATTAACGTAGAAGTAGAAAAATGTCCACATGGTACAATGTAAAACTCTTCCACAGAGGTGTGTTTTTTAATCTAGTTCCTTCTTTTAGCTTCTTTCTTCTAAATGCTCATTTTGTTCTTGCTTGAGCTGCATAAATCCTTCATGCGCATCCGTGATGTTGTCACGTGATTATTTATCGAGCCCAGAGCGGGTACAATGTGCAACCTTTAAGCTTTCTTGTTTGCGTCATTAAGCCCCACGGAGAGCAATACGCTCGATAATTAAAGTCTATTAAAGAAGCGCTGTGTGAGACGGACCGAGAACGTGTCCTCCACTGCAAGGAGGCGGGGGCCCGAGAGACCCGTCCAGCACAGCTCTCTGCCCAGGACACGAGCGCCACAGAAACACTGTAGACGGGCAGTTGCTTTATATGACTGTAACATAACAGATTCATATCTGCACGTACGCCTCTTTGAACACAATGGGCTGCGGGTCTGTTGTTATGTACAGTTTTATTTACAACTGGAAAAACTCAGCAATTAAATCAACTTATGCACATCTTTCTGTTTGGTATAATGCATAAATTGTGTATGTACTATAGATTGCCATATATACATTAATGGCTTGCTCCATAAACATGACAACATTGACATAATTCTAAATGGTAGCACATTGTTTAAGTTTTACTATGTATAAACATATGTTCTGTTACACTGTACATTAATTAACAGTCCAGAAGGCAGATATTTAAATATCAATATTTACATTCATGCATCCTTCATTTCGCTCACATGGTACATGGTGGGGTATACTGTTCGCTAATATCTTTGCATGTCTCGATGCAAGCATGTGTTTTTCTCAAATTTCCACAGTTTAGCCAATATACTATACTTTACTGACAGCCATAGAGTACAGCCCACTCTCACTGAGTACACTCATCTGCATGCATACTCGCAGACAGACAGACACACACCCCCTCTCTCTCTCTCTCTCTCTCTCTCACACACACACACAAATGCACTCATGCACGGACACATAGAGCTTTAATGTATAAAAGCAGAGCAGCGTTGAGTGATGCTCCAGTTCAGCTCGGCTGTGTTTTTCCAGTGGGGATGTTTGTGGACGCCACAGAGTAACACACACATCCCTGCTGAGGCTTTCCCCCGTGCAACCTGATCTCTGGCTGTTGGCTAAGTCTCCTGTCTCTCACCACTCACAAGGTCAAGCCTGGGCTCGTGTCCCCAGTTCCTATAGCGATGGGCTAAGACGCCCCCCCCCTTGACGGATAGGAAAATTAAGAATGTCAAATCCAACCAAATCATTACTGAAGGCATCTAACTGACCCCAAGACTAGATTGAACCAAAAGAGTTGATATAGCAGGTTTAACTTGTAGGGGGGGACGGCGGCTTGACTGAAGATAGCAAATTAAAAACAGGGACTGGAATATGATGCAGCACATTAGTAATGTTTGGAAAAAAAACACATTCACATAGCATATCATACAGACCACTTTTTAGCAGAAGTCTCAGGGAAACAGAGAAAAGCGATATCAAACACAAAACAGAGACAAAACAATACCGAAACTGGAGCGTTGTTTTCTGCATTGGTGTCTCAACAAACTGACAGCAGCCTTAAAGCATCGGAGCATCACAAATGGATTATACAATTTATAAATTATTCACTTAAAAAACATAGCTATTGAGAAATCGTAAAGATGGGAGTAACTTACAAGACAGTTTTTTTTCTTTTGAGTAGAAAAATAAATTCAAAGGTAGATAAATTAGTAAATAAATTGAGCAAATAATTCAATGAATGACTGAAGTATATTACACAGAGCCTAAGTCTTCAGTGGCATTTTTGCCATGGTAAAATAACCAGAATGTCCCATGTTGATGTCGTTGCTCCTTCTCCTTTTTTTTATTTTTTTTAATGGATTTCTTTAAATTGCATAGTCAGATGAATCCACATCTCAGAGCCGACAGGAACATCATGCCTCTCACAAAGCATCTGTCTCCAAAATGCGGAACAAAAGACGGACAGAGTGGGGATTGGAGTATAAAAAAATGTTGCATTCTCTGTAAAAACTGCATGCACGTTATTTATTTTGTGTCATGGGCTTGTCCTGTCTGCTGTGTTGTTTGTTGTTCCATTGCAGATGTCAACAGTGTGTGAGGTCTGGATCTGCGGCAGACTGGCAGACGGTCCCTCTCCAGCCAGCAGCCAACCAGCCTGTCAGCAACACTTGCTGTTACTAAAAGCATAATGTTCAGCCTGCTGCGCCACTTTTGACACCATGGGGGTTTGTGGATCTCTCTCTCCGTTCCTTTTTAGCTTCCTTTTTTTTTTACCTTCCATCTTTTGCAGCTCTTCTTGAGCTAAATGGTGTCTTCAGTCCAGGCAACATGCCAAGCAAAGAGGGAGGGTTTTCCTATTTGAAAACCTTGGGTAAAACCCTGCTGCATTCTGGGTGAGAAGGGACTGTTGAGTTTGGGGGTTACAGTGAGAGACGGGAATGGTGATGTCACTTCCTGTGTCCACCAGGAGACAGTCTATACCACAGTGTTGTTCGTACCTATGGCCTTCTTGTTACGGATGCTCATGGCATATTCCCCACGACTTGTCCCGTTCTCTTCTTTTCGTAGTGGTTTCCTGTGAATAAACATTTTCATAATTACGTTACATTAGTCCTCATTGGAGCTTCTAGACCGGTAACCTTTAGGCTGACATGATTTCTCGGGCTGCTCTTTGCGGCCCTTACTAATGAGTTCAATGTGCAAGGGTCACTTTTGCAATGCGGTTGGGGGGAAAAGACACATCCAAGAAACACAAGGGACAAAGCAATTCCCTATACTGATGAGCAGACGTAATCTTCCGTCTAAGTGGTGAGTGTGTGTATGGCTGTTAAACAAACTTTGGAATACCCTGAACACATAACCTCCACTCAACACTGGTTACGGTGTCCTTTCTATTCCTTTCGTTTCAAAATAAAGCTGCGACACATGATCCCCTTGCTGCTACTGGCCTGTGAAGAGCAGGATCACTCAATACAGCCCTTTTCATGCACTCCTCGGTGCCTTTGTGGTTATTATATTTGTCCAGTGTACTGTGGCTTCTGCACCGACCCCCTCATCTGCTCTCTCCTGCTCGGGCTTATGTAACGCAGAGACAGATCTGAATACAGTTAGTACAGTCATTGTTCCACTCAACACTGTACTATGCCTTCATTGCCATGGAGGACCCTTGAGGGACATCTTAGCTCAGCGTCTCTTCTCCTCTTCTCTCCTCTGAAAGCCTTGGCGGGCCTTGACAAACAATCATTCCCAGTCTTTTTAGCTCGTCGGACATCGTGCAGCAAGGAAACCTTGTATATGTATATATAAACCTTTATATTCAAACCGTTATCACTGAGTTGAGACAAGATCCCGGTAAAAATGCACTATGCATTGTGATCATAATTGTAGCATTATTGTGCTTCACACTTGGGATTACATTAAAGTTCTTACCTCCATGACATTTCCTTGAGCATATAATACAATTAACAGTTATGTTAAATGTCTAGTTATGTGTATTTTTCTCTCGTTATGCTCAATTTGCTAATTTCTCGGCTCTCAGCTCAATTTGCCTACTTTTTTTGTCACTCCAATAACCATCTAGCCCATCTGATTCTCACACACCTGTTATTCAACCATCTTGTTGCTCTCAAGTTAAAAAAACGATTCCTGTCTTGGCTGTTTTCGGCTGTCATTTCAGCCCCCTGAACCACGTCCACCGCTCAACCTCTTGGGTTAAAGATAATTGAATCTGTCAAAAAAGTCACTGTCAGAGTCTTCGCCAGGCTTTAAAGCTTTGGTCTAAAAAAATAAATCATACCGGGATCTCAAAAACAAAACGTCACTGTCAATAGGTCTCCTCCTCTTGTGTAGCTCTGAGGATGGCATTTTCCAATCTGTCTGTCAGTCACAACTTTGGTCCAGACTGAAATATATCAACGACTGATGAAAATGTGAACACATTCATGATCCCTAGAGGATGAATCCTATCGACTGATCAACAATTTGTTTGAAATTGTGTTTGTATTTATCACGAATTAGTGGGATTACCACTTATTACCACTTATTACCACCATAGCTGTGCTTTTTGGATTAGCACATGTTAGCATGCTAGCATACTAAACAGAGATGGTAATAATGTTAAAATTGGCACTTGTTTAACATGAGGACCGCGCCAACGTTAGCTTTAGTTACCGTCTAGATAAGGCCTCACAGAGCTGCTAGCATGTCTGTAGACGGTAGTCTTGTTATAGAGTTATTCAAAAGTATAAAGTGTATGTAGATAATACAAACTCTTACTCATCTTTGTACATTTAGCTTTTTTTTATATTGTAAAATTGCAGATTGATGTGATTTTTGTTTCTATATTCACAGGATGATTAAATTATAACTGTTGAACAACAGACATTGCACTTAATCTAAAGTAGTTGAGGTTGTTTGGGGGCTAGTGGCTCTTGAAAAAAGTTGTAAACAAGACGTGAGGCGGTGACTAAGACTTCCTGTGGGACTCTGTCAGCTGGGAAAGGTTATATGTCTCAGGACACTAGGGATCCGAGACGGCGATTGAGGACATATTGTGCTTCCCGAGTCCCTTTAGGGATGCAGGGAAAACCTGAGAATAGAAACTGGCCAGCCCCAGGGTGGAAACACATTGTGCCGCGGGGGAGAAGATTGGCTGATGCAGCTGGGGGAATTGGGATAGACCAAAGCCTTCTCCAAGGCACAGATGGCAGGGTGAGCGGCCAGTCTGGGAATTCTTCTACTTGGAACAGAAAGTAATTGGTGTTGATTTCGTTTGAAAGTTATGCAATGTGCTTGCAGCTAACTAATTATTTTAATTTTTGAACATTTTTGGTATTTCATCTGCTATGTTCCCATTCAAAGGACGTCTGACCACGGCGATGTACAGCCTGCTGAAAAGGTGCTTCGGCCCTGTTCATTTCTCCCAGGTAGTAATCTCTTCTCAGACTGACCACGTTGCCGGGGGGCCACCACACAGGGCAGAGCACTGGGCCCTCAAACCGACCTCTACCCGGGCCGTCAATAATAGATGCCATGCTGTTGACACATGGCAGGTGGCAACACAGCATTGCACAGGTTAGATGAATATTTCATATCAAGGCTGTGCAATCACAGCGCACATTCCTGTTTGAAGTTTGGGGAAAGGATCATGGTGAAATTGGGACATGTGTTGAGCTGTTTACTTTTACTCCTGCCATCTGGAAATTAGCGTGACATGCTATGCTTTAAAGAAAACACGGTAAAAAACAGACTGTAAAAGTCTGTCACCAGTTTTGAGGCGCGGGTAAGTCATTTGGAAAATAAAACAGAGATTAATTATGTACAAGTAAATACTGGATTTTAAACCACTTTGCCTGGCAAATGTTTTCCTTTCATTATTGCGTCTCTGGTTGAGCATTTTGGATATACTTGCCCTTGGAGAGGAGCAGCTGTGATGGATTATCTGCCTTTGGACAAGCCTCCCGGAGCGGTAAGTGATTGGGAAAAGCATCTAGCTTCATTAGTCATTTGGTTGGAGTTTTGTTTGTTTTGGCTCCCTGGATGGCTGACAGCCTGGACTGCAGCATCATGTCTTTTGCTTCGGATTGGCACAGCAACACTGAAACACAGCGTGTGTCTGAATCCTCTTCTCTGCGCTTGCACAGCACCAGCCTCCCTGGTGCTGCGGACTCTGAATAGAATTGTAAAGGAAGTGTTTTTCCTTTCCGGCCCCTTTGCTTCTGAAACATGACTGGCAGACAAAGATTATAAAAAAAAATAACAAAAGGCCAGGAGGGCTGGGACCCGCGGAGCTTGCTCCTCTGCTGTCTGTGGTGCTCAGGCCTTGGCCCTCGGCCAGCTGATTTTCATTGGGAAAGCCCGGAGCTCTGAGGGGCTGGAAGGGCTATATATAACTGGCTGTGTTATTCTCACTGACAAACCCTGTCTCGCAGTTATTGACTCAGACGCTCAATTATTGCCTTTGTTTGCATTTCTTCTGTCCTTTCGCTGTGCTGTTTCCTCGACCTTCTACTCAGGAGCGATGGATGATTAGAGCAGCTGTAATAAATGTTAAGCAATCACATTTTGTCCCCTGGATGGCTACCCTATTGGCCGGTGACTAATGAATGTCTATTGAGGCCAGTCTGGCTGGACCTGAGTAATTCTCTCTTCTCATTCAGTGTGGAGGGCAACTCGGCGTGGCACAAAGTCTGCAGTCTAGAGCCCCACAGAGCTTCAGGACACGACCCACTTGCATGTATAAAAGATGTGGCATGCAACTGAATGACTGCGCAAATTAATTCATAAATAATGACTTGGGTTTGGGGCTAGAGCTTGTATTGCAACAACACGTTCTTACCACCGCTGCATTAAAAAGGGTGCCCCTCGGCTACACAGGAGGCTTGAGAATTGCCATAATGAATTCCTGAGCCAACCACCGATTACTTCCGCTGCCTGACTTTGCCTATTTGTCTTTTGAAAAAATAGTCCTGCTGAAGAAAGCCATGTCAGGCATGCAGGCGTAATATACCTCCATAAATTTAATCAAGTCAACTACACAAGTAGCTCCCTGATCTGTGGCTTCTCTCACACGGGTGTGTGGGAGTCAATGTTTATACCATTTTACAGTGTGTAAATACGCCAAGATGATGTATCTATGTAGGTAAAGACCATGTGGATGGGTGCACACAAGTCATCTCCCCCGCATGCTTCTAGGTGCATGCGTGCTTCTTGGCACGACGTGTTTTTTAAATGTCTGCAAACACAAACGTGGGTGTCAGAGTGCATGTGTGACACGTGCTGCCTGAATGCCACACAGGGAATTGGGTCTGGGTTTTGCTGCAGGCTAAAACCTCACGCAGCTTTTTAGAAGGCTAATGGCCTAATAAGCCAAATGGGAGAAACAGTTGCAAAAATGCCACTTGGGATTCCTCTAGTCGCCTCTTGCGTTCACTTTCATTAATCCAGTAGACACATACAAATTCAAGGTCATCATGCACGTCAATAAATTAATTCATTTGATGTTTCGTGGGGACTTAGTGAAGTGGATCTTTCTCAGTGACATTTACAACCTGTTCCATTATTTAACCTCTGACATCAGTGTGACCCAGCAGGGGGATGACAGGGTCATCATCGCCTCACCTACAACGGCAGGAGAGGTAGTACAGTCTCCCATGGGTCAAATTAAACATGTCATGTGGAGCAGCCTGCCCGTGGCGGCTCCCATTTTAATTTTTCATCACTTAAGAATAATTCGTAGATACGTGCGAATGAGATCTAACTGGAATACTACAAGAACCGAAAAGCGTAGAAGTGACATCCAACCTCTTGATGGCCTTGTAGCAGATGATGATGGCTGAGAGCAGGAAGACAGCGGATGCACAGCCCACCGTTCCCAGGACTACAACGTCCATCTCCATCCACCATGGCCTCAGCAAGGGCACCTCGGTCACTGCCACTTAGAGAGAAAAAGAGAAGAAGAGGGGAAAGGAGGAAAGAGATTTGGATGCAGAAGTAGTGAATGAGCATGAATGTATGTAACAAAATGAATCAGGTTTTTATTTCATCACAGCACAGTTGTGGAATCAGATCTAACTTGAGTAATTAGTTCATTACTGATCGCATTATGCGACATGATAACGCAGCACAAAAGGGATTTTCTTCGAGAAGTAGCGTCCTCACCTGGATATCTAACCCGACACAATGAATCATTTAAGGTCCCATCAACCTTCCTTACACCAGCACTGTTGTCCACATCAATTACTGTTGCAGGAACCGCCTGCTCTTTCCACATTAGTTCTGTAGTGCCTCGCCAGGAATATTGTATAACGTTGTGTGCATCAGCAACTTTGTACCCTTTGTAGTGCAGAACTTCCTTCTTATCTTTCTGCAGAATTTGATGCTTTAGTCACGTGCATATCCATCCATCTATCTATCCGTGCATCCATTTATCCATCCACCAATTTATCCATTCATCCATCTATGAATGCCAGTTAGTTCTAGGTTTGAGTGCCTGAGAAAATGCACTGTGCTGTATATATCATAACAAACTCAAAGCTCCCGCACAGTTATTTTGTTATGAATGAGAGGAAGGGTTTACACCATAGAAACATATAATCCCCATATAATATAATAAGAAATAGTGATGACTATTTTCCAACACAGCACATTTCTGCTAAACAAGTAAAAAGACACGGCTCTCACCGGTACAGCACGCGATGTCGTAAGTCACTATGAATTTAAAGGCTCCTCTCAACCAAACCTTACCACTTTAATCCTGTGTTTTCGGTTGAAGGATTAAATGCAGTCAGCGGTAAGGATATACTTTATTGTAATAAAGCACACTCCTTTGAAAGAATTCGGAAACCATTTTCAGCGCATACTGTAGACTTCCTTAACAGTGCCAATTTCTCTCCTCTTTTAGAGACTTCCAGCGGGTCTCAGACATTGTCCCAGTTTTTCGTGTTAGTTATGCATATTCATTGCATTTTATATACTACAGTTTAAAGCTACATCTCAGCTCTAATCGTTTTGCAAATTGGGCTCCTGAAAGAATGTGAAGATAATTATGAGCCCGTATGTATGAAATTGAGAAGTGACGAAAAAAAACCCTCCTTTCAATGAATTATTCATGGTGTCTCCACCCTCTGCAAACATTTCTGTGTTAAGTTGAAAAGGAATAAAAATTGGCCTGCTTATCATGTTTATCGTGACACATAACTGTTTGTGGATGAGTTCAGAACTCATGTGTTGGCTGTAATTGGGCATTCAAACCCCCGGCGTAGCTTACAGTCAGATGGTCCTGACAGCATCCATGCTGTGGCCAACATTCACAGAACAGCTCACACAGTTAGTCAGGGGAAAATAAGGTCCATTTGAATTGACCAGACAGAAAGAAATCATTGGAAGTGATTGATTAAAACATTTACCCTGCTGCCTGTTGAGACTTTGATGATTTAGTGCTCCTCCCTACTCATAATATTAAGGAAGCAGGATGAGGGATTCTAAACAATCACAGTAATAGCTCAGAGCGGCTGCATCATCAGAAACGCCGGCCCATATTTCAGCGCACTGTCCATTAAGGTGCTCGAAGCCCATTGAATCACATCAACTTTCTGCAAGAAGGCCGGTGAAATATGTTGTATGCCTCGTTTATCATTGGATGTACCATTTCGGAGGGAAAAGTGCTGCAACAGGCATCAGATCCACGCAGATAGACACGCTTGAATATACACAGAAAACCAGAAAACGCACCCTATAAACGCCGCCAAACTACTGGGCTGGTTTATTAGCTCCTTATCTTTTCAAATGAAATGTAATTTAATTAACTCATCTGTGTTCTAATCAGGGGTCCTCCGGGGGGAAACCCTGCCACTGAACCGTTGTGCCAGGCAGCCCAGTAGGCATGGATTTCACAAGCAGCTGGGTACTCCCCGAGGTCAGACCCGGCATAAATTAGTCCTGTGTTCAGCTGTCAACGTCCTGCTGGCTCTATCACCGGCAGACACACTCTCGCAATTAGCACCCATGCGCGGTAATCCGACAGTACATTCTTCTTTTTAAACATAAAAGCATAGAAAGGGAAACACCCCACGTAGAAACGTATTACCATATTACTCGGCATCTGCGTCCGGCTATGGGAATGAGATCAGACTGTGGCAGGAGACCAGACTGAGGGAGTGACGCGGACAGACTCGGAGCGAGACAGGTGAGGCACCTGGGAGTGTGAGCTGGGAGTCCTACCTGTGACGTCCAGTAGCCGCGGGGGAGGCGGCGGAGGCGGCGGAGGAGGAAGGGGAGGGTATCTCCTACAGTGGCAGGCCAGCTGGCACTCTTCGCTAACTTTCTCCGCCACCGTCCGTGAGCATGACCTCTGGAGTTCTCCCTTATGGTGAGGGGGAGAGGGAGAGAGAGAGAGAGAGAGAGAGAGAGGGGGAGAGAGATCGAGAGACATTGAAATGACGGCGGCATTGTCATTCGGTGCATTACTCATGAGTGCCATCAGCACAACACTGTGCCGCACAAATGGAGATGCTTGAACACTCGGCCGCCTCTCAGCGAGCAGCGCTGTGGAGATCCTCTCAGCATTCCTTTCGTAATCCCGGCTCCAGGGTTGTTGTCACCGGGGCTGTTGTGTATGCAGCGCATGCAGAATAGTACCGTACGTCTATGGCTGCAGGCCGCTCCCTGTAAGAAACCACCCACCAACACAGAGTGGGCAGCAAGCAGGCTGCCCCCGAGGAGTGTGCGTGGGTGGACTTGGAAACTCAAGCAGATCACATTACACGTGAACCCTGGCAACACTGCATGCGTGTGAACAACAGCTCACCACCATCTGTAGGCAGCAGCGCGGGGCAGAGGTGAGCCTACTCATCACTAACATATGCCTGCTGCAGGGATCCTGGTGGGATGACCGAATATTGTTATCATGAAAACCCAGTTGGCCACTCCATGTTACCACTACAAGAAAGCTGAGTGTGTGTGTGTGTGTGTGTGTGCGCGTGCGCGTGTGTGAGAGCTATATTTCTCATGCCTTACTAAAAGCTCTCCACTTACTTGGTATTTGTCAATACACATTGTGATCCCAACATCCGGGCGTGAACACATCAGCAATATTCTGCATATCATTTTTAATATAGCGAGTGCGTTAGTTAGTTGAGAACAGTTCCACAGTTTTTTGTTTTGTTTTATCCCACAGTAAATCAAACTCGGGTAACAGCGTCTCATGCGTAAAATTGATGAGCGGCCGCGCGTCCTTACCTGGCATGAGAGTAAAAACAATGAGAGGAGGCAATGACCGAAGAAAAAAGGCCAGAAACTTAAAGTAAATGGCATCAGATCTTGGACCAGCATTCCTCTTGCGCTGTTCTCGAAGGTACTAGGCAGCGATTCCAACAAACGGATGCAGTATGCATAGGATTGACCTGTTTGGGAAATAACCATCCACCCCGGCCAGTTCAGCGGCGGTATCTGTGACAAGCGTCTCCAGAAGTAGTTTACGCCACAATCATTTTCCTCTTGAGATCCCGTCACCGAGAGCATAGGACGGGCGAGCCGGTGGAATGAGAAGCGAATCTCGACAATTCACATCTCCAAAGTGAGTTTTTTTTTTCTTCTTTTTTTCCTTCTTCTTCTTCTTATTGGCTCTCAGACAAGCGACCTGAATCGCGCCGCTACTCCGTGCGATGTGAGGGCGGTGGATGGCCCGTACCTTCACATCCCTCCCCGGCTGCAAGCATGAGTGCAAATGGGCCACTCGAAGCCATCGAAGTTAAAGAAAAAAAAAAAACGAAAAAAAAAAAACAAGAGAGAGAGATCCTCAGCAATACCGTGCGGCGGGATTCCTCACAATAGGAGCAGCGCGCATCCCCTCAAGTTATCTAAGGCTGGAGACCGAATGGGCGAGTCCGGAGGGCTTAAACTGACGCGTCCCCCTCTGTGCCGAGATACAGCGCGCTGTTTTATACCGGAGCATCACCGCCGACCGCCGCCGCCGCCGCGCACATCACCTCATCCCGACAGCGTGAGCTCCAACCCTCCGCTTCTTAAAAAGTCCCCCCCCCCCCTCCACTAGAGAAAGACACACACGGAGGGAAGGTGGTCACGTAGGCGTCGTTAATGTCGGCCGTTTGTTTGTTTGTGTTTTTGTTTTTTTTGCTTTTGTGGTGTTTTTTTTCTTTGATAGTGGTAGAAAGTGATGCCCTCCAAGCGTGGAGGCGAGTGCGTAAGAGAGAGAGAGAGAGAGAGAGAGAGAGAGAGAGAGAGACGCCTACCTACTGAAAGCACTGCCGTATACCCATGTTAGATGTGCCGTGTGCGTGCTACGGATCTCTGTGGTCCACTTTCCCAAAGTAGGCTGAGATCGGCTAAACGGTACTGATGTAAGCTGCTAAAACCGCAAAGACGTCTTTGAGATATGCATTTGAGGTTTATTTATAAAAACCAAGCTTCTTTGGTTTTTCTTTTTCAAAAGAGGGAGGGGAGGGAGGAGGTGGGGGGGGGGGGGCGCTCTAGGGCCAGAGTGCAAAGAAATCAGTGTCGCTTTTTAAGAGCAGAGTTGCATAATATTGTTGGTGGTCTTCACAAGGCACAGTTATGAAATTACCCCACAGCCCCCAGCCGTGTACATGGAAGAGTCAACGTGACGTTCACTGAATTTACTCAAACAGATAACTGGGGATAAAACGTGGGTGTCATCAAGCAATACAGAGGAGGAGTTTTCGTTTGCTTTGATTTAAAAGAGTCCTTGCATTAACTACTCCCGATGCCGACATCAAAAGTAACACACCTTTTGATCAAGTGAAGAGCAACTGTTCATTAGTGGATAACAGAAAACAAATCAGTAAATATATATGTTTGATAATTGTCGATTGCGGTTGAATAGAAGAAAAACCTACCAATTGGTTTGAATGTAAGAACGGCCTTATGTAATTAAAAAAATCTATTGCACTGTTAATGGGACGCACCAAGACGTTTTTAAATGTTACTTTGGAATTGAGGAAACCTTTATTTCACACTACTTCCTGCTATTTTATAGATTTTATAAAGAAGGCTTGTTTGCAGCTCCCCAAACGTATAAATACTTTCACTTCAGCATCCAGCTTAGTTCCTACTGCAGCAGTGTCCATTTAACTGTTAACATCTTAAATGCAATCCACATCTAACTCAACAACTTTGGATCAACATCAATGGATTCAGCAGCTCTATCCAGCCTTTTGGTCATTTATCACATTTCTATTAAAAAGCTCCTCACCGATCGTAATGGGGTGAGCTCATATACAAGAGCAGAAGACGCCTTTTAGAGTGGAAAAGCCACATCTGCTGCTGAACTGCATTTGTGGATACGATGCAGGGATGTCGCAGAGTTTTTGAAGGGTATAGCAAGCCTTGGTTTGGCATGTGGTGTGCCTGGCGCTTCAGCTCGTCCATCCTCTCCTTCAGCTTGTCCCATTATCGATTATCTGACAAGAGGAAAGCACTACATCCTCCTGGATGCTTCCTGCTGCCTCTCCTCCTTCCAACTACGTCTGCCACAACACGCATCGCTGCCCTTTTAAACTCCGATAAGAAAACCTCTCAATATAATTACTGAGATCTTTCAGTGTTGTTATTCTTGCTGCGATACTTAATTAGCATCTCTGAAGAGCACAGAAATAATGCTTGCGCCAAAAAAAGAGAGCTTTGTCTTTTAAGCGATAATAATGATAAGATCAAATAAACTTTGATCAACTTTTATCTTTACTGTGGCTTTCCCCTTTATTTTAGCAGCTCAGCTTGGCTCTATCATCATGGAGGTGGATTGCCATCTAGTGGGAAAGTCTGGCAATACATGATGTGAGTTGCACTGTGACTATAATAACAGATCATTGGAACAACTAGATACAATGAAGGGGACGGAAAGAGCATTTTGTACAAAGATGTATATTTTGCTGTGCGGGATTTTTGTTGTTTGTGTGTCTAAACTTATTTTGAATAGTCAAACAGAGAGACCACGTGGGTGCTTCAGGCCGGAGACCCCCAAACACTCCCTGAAGTGTTACCCTTTCTCAGTGGTAGTTGGCATGTGCTGCCAAGAAGTCCCATGAATCTTTTAAAAGACAAGACAAACATTTCATCCACCTGTCTTGCAACCAGAACAGTGTCACGTTGTGGGATTTGCCGACGCCGCTCCGCTTCCTTTTTCTCATTCTCCCTCACTTCAAAAGCACAGGAATGGGGTGACAGGCAAGGGGAGGGGAGCCCCATTGTTTATTGGCCTTTTCAGCTGAACAGAGAGGTGAAAGGAAGAAGAAGAAGAGACTACAATAGGGTCCCATTGGCTCTCCAGAACAAGAGGGACGCATCGCCTAAAAAGATAGACCAGTCAGAGCACATATAGACCTGCAGGGCTCTCCTCAGACAACCTCACAACTGAGTGAATGAGGCAATCAATCATGTTGGTTGCAGCTCCCTCGGAATAAATGGCCTGCAGCCTTGATGCAGACTGCAGATTGTTTTCAAAATTGATCTGTCCTGGTGCTGGAGTGGTCCCTATAATGCTTTCAGGGTGTAGCGCATGAGCATGAGGTGTTACTTACCAGGCAAACAGCTTCCTCACGTCTCATTCCACTGCTGCTGCGGTTCAATGGAACGATAGGTACTCCAGTAAGGGGATGAAGCTCAATTAGCATTTCACAAGTCCCCCTTTCCTCCTCCATTGCAACCTTCCCCGCGGAGCCCAATGCTTTCTCTGGGGGATTGTCCTGTTTTGGGCCCTTGTTACCGTTGGCAGGGTGACAGTATTCGAGTGTGCAAACTTGTGCTATTGTCCGCGGGCCAGAGGGAGCCATGGAGACCCCATAATATGACACAGGAAAATGTTTGCTGATGGCAATTCTATGGGCTTTGTCCGACTCTTTCTCCTTCATGACGACTCGATTTAAGTCTCTAAATGTTTGACTACAAATGCAGGAGTGCTATCCAGCTCCTTTCCCTTTGTCCCGCGAGGTTTGAATGAGTAATTCAGCCTTTGTGTCGCTCGATTGAGGGGGCAAACAGAAAGACAAGATTCTTGAGCGTTCAAGCCCCTTTCCATGGTTATGCACTCTTTAGATCCCCCCCCCTCTGACCAAATCCTACATCTGACATCACTCTTGGGGAGGGTATGGGGGCATCTATGTTTAAGACTAAACTTTAATTGCGCCAGAATAAAGTCAGGATGCATGACTAGTTCAGCAAAACTTGCGCTCATTTTATCCATGCTCACTCTGACTTTTAGGGGAAGTTCGGCCGACGCGCGAAAATCACCGTGTAGGAGAAATATCGCATCCCTTCACCGGCTTTTCTCCAGGTTTCCATGACAACAATTTGCAATGGTGAAGAATTGGATACCAGGGGGCTTGGAGGCTGATTGGGTGCATTGTGAGGGCCTTGGGGGTCGCTGATTGGTTCAAGGAAAGCACCATAACTACAAGGAGTTTATATTAATTCAACTTGTTGAAGTGCTCAGACCTGGAGGGAAGTCTGCGCTTGGATTGTGGCATCGAGTGAGCGTCGGGCCATCCGGCAGTGGTGAGTAAAGGGTCATTATGACCCCCTCGCCCCCTCCCGAAAAATTCATCTGAGAACCATCACATTCAGTTTCCAGGCTTTGTTGCATAATTCCCGTACGAGCAAAATGTGAAGTTGGGCAAATCCTTAATTGACGTTCTCTCCGATTTACCTTTAGATCTTCACGTTGGCCTACACGCTCCACCATGGACTGATTTGATCCGAGTCTCCGCAAACATGGCCAACGCCGACAGCGAAGTCAAGACGTTGCTAAACTTCGTGAATTTGGCCTCCAGCGACATAAAAGCGGCCTTGGACAAGTCGGCTCCGTGCAGACGCTCCGTGGATCACAGGAAATACCTGCAGAAACAACTGAAGCGATTCTCCCAGAAGTACTCCCGGGTGCCGAGATGCCACGCGCACAGGTCTGGCGACTACGGCTGCACCGAACCGATGGGGGCTGCTCGGCTGCGCGCGGACGTCACGAAGAAGGCCGCTTCGGACGCGCCGCGCGCGGAGGACGCGGGCAGCGCCGCGGAGCAGGTGCCGATGCGGAAACGGCAGCTGCCGGCCTCGTTTTGGGAGGAACCTAAATTGAGCCCGGCTAAGAGGGAGGCCCCGCATTTGGGATTAAAAAGGAGCCACGCGGGCGCTGCCGAGGGAAGTGAAAACGAGAAGCGGAGAAGGGGCTGCGACAAGGACGACGCGAGGGCCGCTCTGTCGGCGTCCAGTTGGCGCAGCGGCGCGGACAGAGAGGCGCTAAAGTTGGACGTGACCTCGCGCCACTGCGCGAACGCGTGCGGCTGCTGCCCCTTCCAGTACCACGGACACCAGGTTCTCCACAGTCACATTGTCGTCCCACATCCGCAGCTCGGACTGTGGAGTAAAGCCGCGGAGGCGGAGAGACCCGAGCATCCCTACGGAGCGAAGATCCACACGCACGTTGTGGTCAAACCCATAGCGACCAAACCCACCGTGCCGTCACCGATCTTCAGTGTGTTTGGATTCATTTAATTACCCCACCAGCAGTCACACAGGCCATGTGCAAATAGGACTAATTGTCTTCATGTCGAGTTCTACGTCTCATAACATTTAATTGAGACACTTCCTCAAAGCACTTATGGGAAAAGTAATTATTTGCATTGTTTAAATCTAAGGGGTTATTTTGCACTTCGTCTTTGTGCGGGTTGCCAGTCTGATGCATTCTACATATCTGAAAAGTGACAGCAGTTTACAAGGGTTCTACTTTTAGGTTTCTGCAGAGGATGACTGCTCATTTCTTCAGCAACAGAAGTCATGCAAATGAATGAGCACATCCTGTTTTAGTTTTGTCTTTCAACTATAAGAATAGAATGTGGGACATAAATTGCTTTTTTCTTTGTCGATAGAAGGGCACATTTGAAACCATGACTTTTATTTTTAAATAAATGACTCAACTTCCTTTGGGTATTAGATTATTTTTGCTTTCATTGACCATTTGTGTAAAAACTGCAAAACATTCTGACGGACAGATTAAAGAAAAACATTATGTTATAAATAGATATCACACATAGATAATTGCATCTCCAAATAAAAGACATTCAATGCAGCTAAAAAAGGAAACACAAATTTAGTCACATCTATGATGCGCATAGCGCTTGAAGTTCAGATTAAAGTCAGTCAGCTAGGCTCAGGTATCTGATCAGTCTGTCTGGCAGAGGTAGAGTCGTGAGAGACTTCAGTCTGTGTCTCCCCATCTGGCTCCGGATCCGAAATCTGCAAAGGTGCAGCAGTGGACGAGGTGACACTGTGGACAGAACACAGAGCAAGAGGATTGTCACTTGACAGTGACTTCAGACAACATTTGGGTTGCGTGCACGTGTGAGGAGGTTTAAAAACAGAAAGTCAGTCAGGCGTCTAAAGATTTTGGCAGACGCTTACATGACTTCCTCTTAACGGCGAGCCACTCTTCTCGGCTGTCCAGCAGTTCAGTGAGCCTGCTGCAGAGCTGAGCATGGCCGACGTGCTCCAGCAGCAAGTCTATGATCGGTCCGGCCCATTTACTGATAACGGGTGTTGAGATCCACTCACAGAACTGAAAAGGAAATGAAACAGGTATTACTCGTACAGTTATTGTATAACCCCTGTCACTGTTTTTGGCCGATTGTTTCACACCTGTGTTGCTTTTTTTGGTGGCTCACTGCAGCTTAAAGGAAGCGTACTGTCGTTCTGCAAAGACAGTCCATTGCCGCCAACGGTTGTTACGTGGGACGCTCCTGTCGACGGGTGAGGGGCACATCCGTATGTGCAGGCAAAGCAGGAGAGGGCGTCACAGCCGTTGTCCAAAAGACACTTGAGTAGAGACAAATTACTCATGCAAAGGGCGACGGCAGCGGGGAACGTGGTGGCACAGGAGGGTATTCCGGTGTTGACATGGGCCCCTTTCTCCAGCAGCAAGGACACCGTGCTGACACAGCCCCGCTGCACAGCCATCAGCAGAGGGCTGACCGGGTCCAGACTAAGATCGGCGCCAGCGTTCAGTAACACTTCTGCCGTCCTGGTGCCGCCGTTGGCGACCGCGAAGTAGAGGGCTGTCGCCCGTCGATCGGCGTACCGGACGGAGTGACTGTGGGCCAGCGTCGCGTTTACATCTGCACCTGTCTTGAGCAGCACAGCTGCCACGGCGTGTCTGTTGTGCTCGGCTGCCAGGTGGAGGGGGCTGACGCAGCTGTGGCGGAGCCTGGCTCGACTCGTGGCCGACACGAGCATGGACACGACCCTGCGCACAGAGGCCGGACACAAGATACGCGATATGGCAGCAATGGATTCAATTCAAGTATTAGCATTTTAAGCAGTGTTTTCTGTTAGTTGTTTAGTTAACAAGTGACTTACTCATGGTGTCCAAATTGAGCAGCAATATGCAGCGGCAGAAGTCCTGAGTTGGTGGGTTTGTTAGCGTCTGCGTGTTTAGTCAACAGCAGAGCGACGCTTTCCTTGTGGCCATTTTTACTGGCCTCGTGCAGAGCTGTGACCCCATCACATGTCTGCATGTTCACATCCGCACCTGCAGAAAAGCATGGTTGACTTTTCAAAATCAGATCAGAAACAGGAAAAGGAGTAATATATATATATATATATATTTGTTTGCAGATAAGTACCTTTTCCAATAAGGTAGCAGAGCGCCCCCGTCTGTCCTCGTTGCGCCGCTACAATGAGTGGTGTAACGCTGTAGGTGTTGGGTGGATTGATCGCGGCCCCCGCTCTTATTAGCACCTCGCAGATGTCTGTGTTGTTCCTGGACACGGCCTCGTGGAGGGCTGTCCAACCCTGACCACACCGTTGGTTCACGGTGGCCCCGTGGGACAGAAGGCAGCTCACCATGTCCATATTGTCCAACTCACAAGCTACAGAAACAGACGGGTCATCTGGTAAACAGTTCACCTGTGTAGTTATTTTCCGAATAGTTCTTTTTGTATACAACACTGCCGCACCTTTGTACAAAGGTGTTTCTTTGTTCTTGCTGCTGATGTCGGGGTCGGCGCCTGCGTCCAGGAGGCACTGGACACATGACAAGTGTTCAGAAGACACGGCGAGCAGCAGGGCCGTCTGCTCCTGTAAGGTACGTTTGTCTACCGATGCAGGATGAGCTGGTGCAGAAAACATTCACGTCACACAAACCAGTTGGGTGACTCGTTTGGCATTTACATCAAACGGGGAAGCAAATTGCCTCTTTGAATAGCTCAGTCGTTATCAGCTCAAAACCGACCACAAAGGCATGCAGGTAATGCTTCCCATGTCATACCCCTCAGTATGATCTCCAGGCACTCGGCCTGTCCAGAGAAGGCAGCATCGTGCAGAGGGATCCAGCCATCTTTGTTCTCCCTCAGCAGGCTGAGAGGGGCGGATGTGGCGAGATCATTGACGGCCTTCACGTCACCCCTCCTGATGGCGAACACCGCCGGGCCAACATCCCTTAAGAGGAGAGAAGAAAAAAAAACACTTTAATTCACTCGCACCTAAAAGCATTCAAGTGCATTACACAGACCGGACCATTAAATCTCAAATATTTGTATCTAGACAATACAATTTTTATTAATGATAATATATTGTGATCTAATAGAGACTAACTGGCGTACTATTGTATTATTCAATCAAGATTAAGCATTTTATTCTAGCAGTTATAGAGCAGTCATACAGAAGGACATTCAAGGCACACAAAGCACACGCGCGCGCGCACGCACGCAGCCCCCCCGAGTCGGACAGACCCGCAAACAACAAAAGACTCACTCCGGGTCCGACGCCGCGTCTCCTCTCCTCCTATCTCCCCGCGGTCTCGACGAAACCTTATTGCATTTACCTCCGGCATTGCGGAACTGAGATAAGTACTCCGAGTAGATGAATTTCGTCATGGCGGCCGGTGAGGGGACGTGACCCGGCGGCGGGGCTCAGCTGTGCCGCGGCGGATTATTTTGGGACGGCATTGTCAGGCAGGCTGTGCGACGGGTCTGTCCATATATGTCAAGGGAAGCGGACATCCAGAGATAACGGCTGAACGCCCCCCGGGGGACATAACGCAGCCGCACAGAGGTCTTTGCGCTGCGCGGAGCCTTTATTTGATTGGCCGGCGGCCACGTGAAACAATCAGATAATAAAAAAGACAATCATCTTAAGGCGGACTTTTGGATGAACGGGGCGCGAGGAGACAAAAGAACACAGCGAGGATGATGGACAATGAGTGCTGAGATTCATGAGACACTCACTTGGTTCCAAGCAGTGAAATGTTATTTGGATCCTTCATCATAGCTGCTATGGAATTTACAGTGTTGTAACTGGAAATACTGGTGCCACCACTCTGAATTCCACACAACTTTTTTGTTGTTGTTGAAATTGTAATAAATCAATGGGCGATGGGGGTATTGAATGTTAACTCCATAAAACATCAAATTATCAATAACATTGCATTGTCAAGCTTCCACCTTTCAATATCCCCGCACATGCAAACGACAAATTAAGTAAATTGTTGCCCAACTCTTTTCGTCAAGAAATAATCTTTCAAAATAAAGATGCTCTTCCTTTTAAGCAAAACACCAGGTGCTGGTTTGGGGAAGAGGAAGTGTTTTTTCATTGACAGAACACACACTGATCTACGTCATTGAGTGACGAAATAGCAGAAGTATTTTCTACGTGTACTTCTTTTAAAGTCAAGCTCTAAATGTCTGCTTATGCTTCCTCACCAGAGCAGGTTTTCCGTCCAGTCGGCCGAAGTGCGAGGGCTCAGGGAGTAGACGGACAGCCTGTCTTTGATGTCGTTGCTCAGTCTCTGGTAAAGAGACATGGATCTGCCGACTGTGATCATCACAGGAGGAGACTTGCTGTCCAGTCCGAAGACGCAGACATCCAGCAGTGTTCTGCTGTCCTCTTCATGGACCAGAGATGAGCCCGACTGTATAGACAGACGGAGTCGTACACATTAAAGCGTACGCATGAAAATGAATGCGTGAACAAACATACTCTACGGTCACGCTGTGAGAACTGGAGACGGAGCCCATTTCACGGGCTGAAATCTGCACTTTTAGACACCAGAGAGGAGCAGCTCCAGCAATGAGGATGGATGCCTTTTAAGGGCATGTTAAACTGTGTTTGATTCCACTTGATTCTGCAGCCGGAGGGGCTACGCCGAGGTGAGCTTGTGTGCAGTGTTACAAAGAGTTATGCAGCAGAACGCTGGCACAAGAACACCACATAAAGTTTGAGTTAGCGTTTATTTTCTGCACTATGACTGTGGGCACGATGCTTTGTTTTCACACAATGATAAAAACACACAGAAAAATGAGAGATTTGGACGAACAGCGCCGTTCGTGTAAAGTGAATGCAACTGTTAAGCTATAATTGAAAGACTTGAACTCACCACAGTGTTCCTCATCCACATTTAAAAACGTTGCGTTAACATCACAAAGTTGTTGATCTGCTGGAGAGCGATTATCCTCCTGTTGTGTCCGCTGGATGAAGCGTGACAATGTGCAGACAGCAATGACAGCAGATTTGGGTTTCACATTCACTTTGCCTGTGAAGAATACTTCCTTCTACGACACTGGAAGGGGCCTCTGGTTCACACAACAAACAAGTCTGTCAGCATGTCTATTTACAGCCAGGGGAACCAAACTACTCTGAGAATGTTCTCAAATTGTTTTGGCCAATGAAGAATATCCACATCCATAAAGAATCAACGCGTCCGCGGCGGTAACCTACATCACTAATTGATCGTCAAATTAAAATGAATGTGTATAAATAAGATGTATGCTAGTGTATGCGTAATTAACATTGCTAGAATTGCTCCTGTCTTAGGTATTAGGTGTGTCAGCAAACCTTGTCAGTGATCAAACGTGTTTTTTTTGTCAAATGGTTTTCTAGGGAAACGGTCTACTGTTAAAACGTATGCAAATTTTCATAAGGTAACCTTTGCTTTTTCTGTAATGATGTGTAATATCAATATACAATATAAAAAAAGTAGACTAGAAATCTAGAAAACTAGAAAGCCCTGCCTCTTAATGGTTGCTTAAAACACTTATTGTGACTTTCCTTTGACCTTTGACCTTCACTAAGAATGAGAAAGAGTTAAACATAAGGAGGATGCTTTCATATTCATCCCCTGAAAGGGTGACGGTTCCACTGTGCTCACATCAAATCGAGGATGTAAAACACATTGGTAGGAGAATGATTTTGTCATGTTTGTTTACAAAAAAACTCAAAGTGTGACGTTGACACTTGAAACCTCCCGAGGACAAACTATCTGCAATTGTGGGATTGAGAACAGACCTTTCTGTGGTGTATATATATACATGTGTAATATATATATAAAAAACTAATTATTTCATGTCAATACTTGGTTAAATATGGAACTCGTTTCATTGCTAAAGTCTGCAGAGCGATTCACGGAGAAAATAACGGTGCATCCCAAACCCTTTTTTTTGGACTCAGCAGACTTTTGTACTCGGTTCTCGGGAATTAGACCAGAATGAGAGTTCTAAGTTTTTGCCTCATCTCGGATCTGTATCGATCTAATTTCTTTTGATTCGCCGCTCTCATTCAGTCATTAAAACAAGAACCGCCCCTCTGGCAGTTGCCGTGACAACGGAGAAACGATCCCGGCACATTCCCTGCCGTCTCGCAGGCGGTTCCTAGGCAACCGGTACACAAATCCGGGGAAACATCCGGAGAAGACGTTCTGGTCGCTCGAACGTGGAATAACTGCAGGACTTGTTAACTCACAAGGATTACTGGACAATATTAAAAAAACAAATAAAAAAAACATGTCGACGTCGTCCCTTCCCATCTTAGATGACGGCGATCCCCGACTTAAACTGAAGGTGGAAAACAGAAAAAGAAACATTTTTGTAACACAGTTGGAAGACAACAGGTAGGCCAGAGATCTTCTCATGCAATCAGAGTCAGAATGTCAAATCTATTTCTCATAAGCCATTTGTCAATGTATCGACTGAGTGGTTCTGAAAATCTATTTCTCATCAGACACAGAAAGGAGGAAAATGTCAACCACCTCCCCGTTGTGACGGAGGTGAGACTGAGTGCCATAAAAATAAGGATCCGATGCTGCATGTCGACCCGAAACTTTAGAAAATAGAATATTAAAATAGCAACACAGAATATAACGTGTTGTGGCCTGCGGTTACTCATTTTGTTGTTGTTGATATTTTGGTGCGTGGAGTTTGAGTGTTTATCATACGTTTAGACTTCCAGCAGAGTTCTTGAGGCTGGAGTGAACACTTTGCAAAAGACCCTGATTCTGAAGAAACAGTTTGAGTTGGACAATGTGAACCAGCAACTCGCACGCAAGCAACAAGAGTTTAAGAACCGCATGGAGGCTCTCGCTCGGAGAAGGTCTGAATTGGAACTAAAACAACAGGAGGTAAAATAAAAGCCTGTGAAACTGCATGAATTATTAAGCTCTAGATATATGGAGTAATATGTTGTACTTTCACCCAGACTGCAGAGATGGCGATGAAGTTTGAGAAGTTTGTGGCTGATAATGAATTGAAGCGGCGCCGAGCGCTGAGCGAGTATGAGGCTGCACTCGAGCTGAACATTTCTAAACAGAGAGAGATCGAAGATCTGACGGATCAGCTGAAACAACTCAGAGCCAGGTGGGAACGTTCAGCCCACGCCTTCATGTGACGATCCCGCCGACACTCCTAACCTCAGGTTTCTTTCCATTTATCAATCCACAGAAAGCGGGTTTTAAAGCGGAGACTGTCAAAATACAAAATCTATGAGGACTACTTGATCAAAACAGTTGATCATTTCCCCAGCAGTAAGTCAAACAAACCTTTACACAAATCTGCTGTGCTTTTCCCGAGTTAATTACACAGCTACACAAATGGACCAAACGGCACCATGTCTTTCAGCTTACCCTGACAATGGGTCGGAATCTTTGGTCATGCCCATCATTCGGCGCCACGAGACCCTGTCCATCACCCACCGGGACCTGCTGCAGCGCTTGGGGCGCCTGGAGGAGGAGGTGGAGCAGAGCCAGCGACAACTGCTGGCCATGACGCAGGAGCACAGTATTAAAACATTGGTCAGACCCACATACACACACAGATGTTCATCTTTGCTTCAATGGTTGATATCAAATGGACAACCAGAGGTTGTTTTTATGTGTGTTGCAGATGGCCAATAAGGAACTGTCTGAACAGCGGACCGAGTTAGAAAACCTCAAAGAGAAGAACAAGCAGGCAGAAGTTAACCTGCTGATGGAGCAAGGCCTGTCCAGACAGAAGGTATAGGCTCTCAAGATTATGAGTTGGAAAGGACCCTGAGCTCATTTGCAGATTTAGGGATAGAAATATTACGACATGTGCTTATTGTCACTCAGGTTGAAGAAGAGGGTCGCATGCTTATGGCGATCAACAATCTCGCAGAGCAGTGTTATATATCAGCATACGGACCTCTGACCAACATGAGCATACTGACAATGATGGACATGGTCAAGGTAATGTCTTCAGAAAATAGTCGCTTGCTTCATGGTGGTGATTTATTCCTTTATCTTCTTTTTAACTAAGAGTTGGATTTCAGGAGTACATCCTGGACAAGGCAGACACGGAGAGGCGAGCAAGGAGACTGATGGAGTCGGGGTCGGCCGCGATGAATAGAACAGCTGCGAAAGACAAAAGAGAGAGGGGGTCAATGAAGGGCTTCGGCAGTAAAACACAAATTAAAAGTTCAAGTAAAGTCAGCAGAAAGAGTGAGACAATGAGTTGATGTGGAAAGTTAACAACTCACCACAGTGTCACTGCCCGATGTAAGTTTGTTGTGAGTGTGAGAATTACTTTTTGACCTTGGAAGCAGTAGTTTGACAAGAAAAACTACAAGCTGGCAATCATGTGCACCAGGTCCACTGATGAAGAACGGGATGCATGGAAATTAAAACTCTGGAAAATGCAAGTAAGCAAAACTAGTGCCAAGATCCCTTTGTCACCATCTGAAAGTGGTTTAAATAATGAGTAATAAGTTAAAGGTTCTCCACATCATGCAGAACCAAATCCTTCCACCTTCTTCAATTTATGTTGCGCATTTGTAAGCTTTGACATATTAAACTTTTAGACATAATTAGGCTACTTGTTTTTTTTCTGTGACTGAAGACGTTCGAACAGACACATATGATGCATTATTGTGGGAAATAGACAGAGAAAGACAAACGCTGCACTGTCCCTTTAACGCGACCACGTGGTCTCTGCAAACATCCGGTTCCCACAAAATGGAAATACGATTGCAACAATGTTTCGACACACAGCTTTGACGCACGTATATTCTTGCTCAAACGTGACTGCGTGTTTCTCCGCACATTGCGCCCGTACTGCGCGGAAAGACGAAGGCATGTCGTGCGAGTAGTCCGCCCCCGGTGCCCGGCGTCTCTTCGGCTGGTGAAGCGGCTCGTTCCTCGACAGATGGAGGAGGGCAGCCTGGTCTCCTGCCGAGAGGACATCTCTTCGCTGTTTCCAGAGCAAACGCCGTGTGCCAAATACAAAGTAGGGGGGCAAATAGTCGGGCTGGGTTGTTCAAGTGCTATTGAAACTACTGCCCCCCCCCCCTTAAAGACTCAAATAACCCATCTAAACTGCATAATAATCAGCCCTATTGTCCTTTTGTTAGGATTTAAGCGGTCAGTTTTCCACCGTCAGACAAGTGCGCGGAGATGGAAACTGCTTCTACAGAGCGCTGTGCTTCGCCCACCTGGAGTCGGTGCTGCACAACGCCAGGGCTTTGCAGAGGTCAGTGGTCGCCATTACGGCCATTTGTGCAAAGATGGAATCGCCCTCGGGTCTGAGGTGCTCACGTCTCACCGGTTTGGCTTTTCAGATTTAAGGAGACAGTTGTTCGCACCTATGAGGACTTTTCTTCTGCGGGATTCGACGAGACGTCCTTCAAGCATCACCTGAACACAGTAAACGACGCGGCCCTTCTTCCAGTTAATGTATTGACTCGTGACATGTAAAGTCAGGAAGTGTTCATCAAAGGTGGATTTAGGGTTAGGAACGAACCATTTCTTATTCTAATAGCAACAATACAAGCCAACTACTAGTTTGGGCCTTTGTGCTCCATGCTGCACCACAAAGGTGTTTGTAATGGTACACAGATAAAAGGGCTAAACAATAATTTATTAGTGTTTTTATATTGATGTCAATCTCCTGAATTACATTCACAAGCCATCTCTTGGATACGAACTACAGAGCTCTGTGCAACCTGTCATCTACCGTCTGTTTTACCGGCGATGGCTAATCTGGTAAAGGTTAGCACCAATTGGACCCAACATCTGGAAAGTCCACTCATGCTTCAGTTTCTCAGTGTAACCGCTAAATAATCCCCTGCTTTCAATATATATTTTTTGAAATAAGTTATCAAAAGGTGCACGCCCGGTGCAACTAGTTGAAACCGACTTGTGTAAATACCTGGTTCCCCTGCAGGTCGTCGACGTGGTGGAGCGGTGCCAGGCTGACGAGCAGGAAGACACGCTGCTCCGGCTGTTCAACGAGCAGATGACGTCCGACAGCGTGGTGCAGTACCTCCGGCTGCTCACCTCAGCCCACCTGCAGAACCAGGCCGAGTTCTTCTGCAACTTTGTGGAGGCCCCCAACCTCCTAGTCTACTGTCAGCAAGTTTGTAAAGCGCCGCCGCCATCTAGTGAAAAGAATTGCAGACCTATGGTTTTCACAAAGGGGTGAGTCAAGGAATTATATGGTTTGGTAATGTTTTTCGCTCTCGTCCTTCAGGAAGTGGAGACCATGGCGATGGAGTGTGATCACGTGGACATCCTAGCTCTGTCCCAGGCCCTGGATATTTGCATCCACATTGTTTCCATGGAGGGCGATGAACAGCAGGTGGCTCACCATGTCATTCCAGAAGGCGCCGAACCCTCCCTGCACCTCCTCTACCAAACGTCACATTATAACATTCTCTACCCGCGACCTCAACACTGACCGGAGACCCACGAGGACTCTGCTTCACTCAGGAAAAGTGACACTGGTGGAATAAAAATCCCCACTGGGCTTTGAGACACTTCCCAAAACAGGTTTATATAAAGTCTTGCAGTGTACAGCGGGTCAACATTTGCAATTACATTTTGGGTTTTTGCACATTGTGCAATAAGTATTTGAACAAATCGAAATGAATTCATGAAAACCCATTTACGTGACATCAACATTCACACAAAGCGTGTCAAAGATGGCTTCTCTAAAAACACACATTCCATCAACATGTCACTGCTGCTGCTCCTTTTTCCGCTGCTGCGCACCCGCTTTCTTCTTCAACTTCCGTTTGTCCTCCTGGGTCGAAAGACTGGTGAGGGCATTTCCCCTCCCACCTACGGGCAGGTGAGGCATGGAGAGCCTTCCCATTTGAGTGGGGTACTTGGACTTATTCATATTCCTGAATACCGGCTGGGAGATCAGATGCTTCAGATGCTTTTTCATCCCTTTCACCGCCCTCTGCTGCCCTCGGTCACCACCGTCGTCGTCGTTTCCTCTGCCTGCGGACATAAGATGGTATACTCAGTTGTCTGTATTGGAACAATTTTAAATAAAGTGAAACCTGGTGCAGAACATGTCGTGTTATGTCGGCCTCACCAATTAAAAGATCCTCATCCAGCTCAAGCTCCAGCGCCGCCGCGGCTTGTTTGAACCAGGAGTTGTGCTGCTTCTCCTTGCTGTTGTAGAACTCAATCTTCTCGATCTGATGTGCCAAGTTTACCCGCTCCTGTGGAGAAACCCATTCAACCGTGAACAATCTGACCATCTATTTAAATGGCACAAAAAGGCCGGAGCTATTGCTGGAGCTCACCTTGATGGCTTCCATGCATTTGGTCTCTATGGGGAACATGGGAAGATCCTCGTCTTTCCCGAGGGCCTTGTAGATCTTTTTGAAGTTCATCATGTCGTCTGGGCCTACCAGCAGCAAACTCAGACCCTCTTTGGTGGCTCTCGCGGTTCTGCCACTACGATGGACGTAAGTCTCAGAAGTCCGGGGAACCTGGTGTTCACACGGGGACATGATTAAACATTACAGCCGGTACCGGTAACACCAAGGCTCTTTATGCACAGTATTCCTGGACAAAGGCTCAGTGAAACATGCTACAGCTCATTTTTACCTGTGTTTATTATATAAAATAAAATGGCTTTTAGAAATACTAAATGATGTGGACAAAGCTTACCTGGTAGTGAATGACATGCTCAACATTTGGGATATCCAGTCCTCGAGCTGCCACATCAGTAGTCAGCAGAACACAACTGAGAATGACATTTTGATATGGCGTCAGTAATCAATGAGTGGAATGAAGGCGTTGATCACATGTCAGCAGAGTAACAAAGTAAAGATGCTAAATGAGATTTTCTCAGCAACTTTTTAGAGTAACCTTTACAAGACTCAATGGTGAGTTTTTCTGAGCTCAAAATAAACCATCTCAACCTGTACAAGTCTATAGTTTATGCTCCATTATTTTGTTTCTTTTGGCACGGGAATCTTGGCCAAAACGGCAGCAACACAAGCACATAGTGTGTGCAAACCTCACCTCTCCCTCTCGGCAAACCTTTCCAGGTTTTTGAGCCGTTGCTTCTGGTGCATGTTTGCATGGAGGGGCAGTGGAGTACAGTCCATGATGACCAGCAGAGAGCTCAGTCTCTTGATGCAGTCTATACTGTTGGCAAACACCATGGTGCGGCCGGGATACTGGAGCAGAAAGTAATAAAGGTAGAAGTCCTTCTCTTCCTTCTGACAATGGATTTGGGTCTCGGTCAAGCTCTCCACTGTTGCCTCCTTCCTGGTCAGGTCAATGATTTTGGGTTTGGACTTGATCCCCACTTTGCTCATCAGAGTTTCCAGCTGGTTCCTCTGGTCCAGATTCTTCCTCTTCTTCTGCAGAAGGCGCGTGGGCATGCTGTGATCCATGGTCAGTGTGGCAGAGAACACAAAAGTCTGCCTCTTGGGATTAAAGTCATCGTTGTTCAGCATCTCCAGCAGATTCTCCAGCTCTGCAAAGTGGCCTCTCTCCACCATGCGATCCGCTTCATCAATGACCAGGCACCTGAGCAATAACACAACCGAGAGGAGTTAGTCAAAAAATGAACAGCAAAAAAGTTTGTTGTCGTCAACCAACATTGTACTGAAAATACATAAAATGTGAGAACATTAAAAACCCAAGGATCCTACACAATAAGGAACCTTGTCCCAGAAGAAATCAAATCTGTGATACTTCCACCACATGCAGATAAACAAATGAGAAATAAATAGAAACTCTACTTTACTTTGAGATTTTCATAGTTTGTTTTATGTAAAGTACAGTGGGAGACAGTTTATTGTACTTATTGTACTGAAACTGATAACATTTCTGCACTATGTTGCAATTAGTCATTAATCAGACTGTGCAAGTCTGGAAAGATAAAACCACACAGCAAATGTCTAGACACATGTGATACTGATACCTGAAATATATTGCCATGTCATTTTTTTACCATATTGCCAAAGCATATAAAAGAAATTGTGACTAACTTGAGCTTTCTCAAATTGAGCAGATGTGGATGTTTCTCTTGGATCAAGTCCCACAGACGTCCTGGAGTGGCAATGACGATTTCGGGTCTTCGCCTCAGCATCCGCCGTTGTTTCTCTTGTGCCATTCCACCCACCACTATCGCCGTTTTGATGTCTGCGTAAGAGCCACACAATAAGTATCTTGACAATGATAATTACGTTTAATTATAAAAAATAAAAAAAAGTACCCCGGGGAATCATAAATCCCGGCAGGAGTTACCGGTAAATTTGGCGACGGCATCTATGTGGTGCTTGACCTGAACAGCCAGCTCCCTGGTGGGAGTGAGCACCAGTCCGAGCAGAGGCTGACTGCGTCCAGCCGCGGCTTTTGCTTTTTCTGGTTCGGCGGCGGCAAAGTCAAACTCGGCCTTTTCGATTACTTGATCGGGGCTCTCGTCGCCATCTTTTTCGTCACCGCCGTCTTCGCTGTCACGTTCGTCCGGGTCACCTTGATCCCGCTCTGTGACGCTTCCCCCCTCTTCTCCCTCTGTGTCCACGTTCTCCTCCTGGCCTTCCTCTATTGTGGACTCATCTACAGATGGTAGATAAAAACGCTCCCCCCTTTTCACGGTCGATTCAGCGTTGTCGTCGCCATCATCATCATCATCATCATCATCTGGCCTTTTCGATCTGTCACGCCACTCCAGGATGGCGTGGATCATGGGAATCCCAAAAGCCAGCGTCTTCCCGCTTCCTGCGATGAGAGATTAGCTTCACTTATGGAACCATGAGGACGCACCGCAATGGTGCATTAAAACAATGTAAGGGGGGGGGGGGGGGGGTTAATCTTACCTGTCTCAGCCGCCCCCAATATATCCATTCGATCCCTGATGGCTGGAGGCAAAGCCAGGGCTTGTATGGGACTTGGTGAGCTAAAACCAAGACTGCTGAGTGCCTTCAGCACCGGCGAGGGGACGAACAGGTCCTTCCAGGCACTCACATCGGCACGTTTGTCACTGCAGTCAGATCTTGCTGCATTTGTCCAATTCTTTATCTGCTTTTTGTTTTTAGGATGCTTTACGACTTTTTCTTGAGGGGCTTTTTCTTTGTCCGCAGCTTGAGGTTCTGATTTAGACTCTTGGTTCGGCAGTGCGTCTGGACTTTTCTTCTCCTTTATCGGTTTCTTTTTCCTCTTCTTCTTGCTCTTCTTTGGGGGTTTTAATTGGGCCTCTGAACTAACTGCTAACGTTGTTACATCTTTGGAGGCCTCTTCCGGAGGCTTTTCGCCGTCTCCTGCCTCCTCACCTGCAGCTACATCATTCTGTAGCAGCTCTTCAGCAGTCTCCTCTGGTCGGTCAGATTCCTGTGGGCCCTGTTTCTTATTTCTCTTATTTTTGGCTTTCTTCTTAACTGGTTCAGCTGCGTTCTCCCCGTCTTTACCCTCCACATCCACCTTCTCTCCAGCCTCTTTTGCCTCGCTGGCCTTTCTCTTGGTTTTCTTCTTCTTCTCCCTTGTGGGTTCCTTTGTTTGTTTGTCAGCAGCAGCAGCAGCCTTCTCGGGGTCTACTAACCGGTAATCTGTCAGCTCTTCAAAACACACCAGGGTCTCCATTCCTTCCTCGGAGAAGACGCTGGGGTCGATCTCCACAGCCTTCCAGTTGCCTTTCACGTGGACGCTCCGTTTGGCTGGTCTCCTCTTGCCGGAGAACGGACGCTTGTTTCTGGGCATCATCCTCGTCGTCTTCATTTTCCTACAAATGTACACCGAGTCACGCCGATTTGTTGCTCCTCTCAAACGGAGCTGATATGCGCGTGGCGTTACGTGTGTACTGTATAGAAAATCCGCCCCTAAAAATGTCCGACCCGACTGGATTGGTACACCACAAACAACAAAATAACAATTATAAGTAAAAGTGATGAAACAGAAACAACTACCTTGACTGGATTTGCTTTTTTTTTAAGTCAAAAGTATCGCTACGAACGATGACAACCACGCATTGCACGAGGGCGCCGCCATGACAGTTTTGATCACGTGGTCAGAAAAAACTTTATCGGTCAAACGACGTTTACAGAGTTCTCTCTTCCGCAGGATGACGCGGCTGATGGAAAAAATGTTTTTCCTGTTAAGTAGAGTGATCAGGAGCCAGCTTTCTGTAGATATAGTGAGTATAGTATATTTAGCAATCAGGTTTTGATATATTTTAAAGAGATATAAACTCAGTGTTTGAGCTGACAGGTCTTATACGGCAAACTGTGTTGTTTTTACTTTCTTGTAGGGCACCTTTAATAAACAGCTGAGACGACGTCAAGACACTAAATCTATTATCTTCACCCAATAACGACACCAATACATCGGTTGCTGGTGAATCAAGTATCAAACACCACGTTTGCATTGTTGTTGTTGTTGTTGCATTGTTACATTTTATGTTGGTAGTTTGCCAAATCAGAAAAAGCCATCAGTAGATATATATATATATATCAATAAATCTTTGGCTGAGGATTTTGACAATAGTCAATCCAGTCAGCAGTTTCGAAATGTTAGTAAACATTTAAAGGTCAATTTCCAGATGTAAAGAGACGAGTGTTCTTGTGCTAGTGCTCACGTACCCAGCACTGCTATTTTTATTTTGAGTTTTGCACACGTCTTTATCCAAGAGCAGAAAGGCTTTAACTAAATGCATACTATTGCTAATGGTATATCACAGGGCTCATATTAGGCAGGCTTACAGAAAACAAAAGGATGACCACTTAAGACGAACAGATGCATCACACGTTACAACTCCGTCACGACTGGTAGTTTTCAATAGGGTTAATCACCCTCCCCATGAACAGCAGACAGTTTGTGGCTTCATGGTATATGAAGAAGAAAAAGGGCCTGTTGACAATGAAGGTTCTTGGTAAAGAATATGGAATAATGCCAGATGTTGTGGCAGCTGCAGCAGTGGTTCCTGTCTCGTCCACCTCTATCATGGCCTTGTGCAGCACCTGTAAATTTTAAGTTGAGTTTTAAAAGAAAATACTCTGCAGAGGTTGGAACACACAAATGTGCTGTTACAGCGTGGGGGGGAAACTAACCTCTGACACTTTGAGACCTTCTTCCTTACTCAGCCTCGTCAAATTGGCTGTATTGCTGAAGATACTGGCCATGCCAAAATCTGGTAGAATATTCTGCAGCGAATACGATGACTCCATCTTGAACTTGGGCAAGTTGACTTCCAGAGTGCTGTGAACAAAAAGATGTGGCGTACTCACTTGTTTAAACTTATTTTATAGTGTGCATTTGTTTGTTGACAAAGTGCTTTTTGCTGAGCATTCCTAGACAAAATGTCACATAGAGAGACGATAATATACACACTATAGAAAGACGACATTTTTATGTCAGTCTACGTTCTTTTTTTTATGCATTACTGTTCACTTACCTTTTTTGCAGCTTTTTGATCCATTCGAGGAACTTCTTAGCAGTGATTGCATCATCGATTACAGTGTAGTCCATGCCTTTGTCTGGCAACAGGATCAGCATGGAAACCCCCTCCTGATACGGTAGCCTCAAAACCTTTGCACCAAGACCAACATCTTGCATTGAGTAGAATTTATCCTCTAAAAACATCATCGGTACTTGCACGATATTATACTTGTTAATGTGGAACGGTGCATTGGAAGTAAAATTGGCGTTGAAAGGAGTCTGCCAGGATCCTGTAGAGGAAATGACAGTTCATTTAATTGTAAATTCAAAACACAAATGTCAAAGTTGTTTACAACAACGTTACTATACGGGAGTAATTCAACTTACCCTGAAACAATATTGTGTCGATTAACATGAGCTTGGTCATCGCATCAAGGGAGGACATCATGTCGGTAATTTTGTCCCGAGTCTTGTTCTTGATATACTCATTGATGAAGCGGATACTCCCTTTTGAGTCCGCAAAGTCTACCCTTCTGATGTCAGCGTCAAAATATTTCTTGATGTGATCTTGAAATACTTTCTCTACTGAAAAGTTCTGGCTCATAAAGAGGGCCATGGCTCGGTCCAGTTTCAGCGATCCACCCTGCGTGATGTTCTCATGGAGGAGTTGAAAGAGTCCCGGGATGAGTTCTGGCTGGTCGGCCCGCTCCAACTGCTCCAGGTTGAGCCCCTTCAGTATTTCTTCGTGTGTGACACCGGCAGAACCCATTAGAAGAGCAGCAAAGTTAGTGGAAATACTCAGAGGGGAGAAAAATATATTCTTGTCATCGTGGCTGGATATTTTTCTGTATAGGTTCATGGCAAAGTCCAGATTTTTCAAGGTAAGATTGGAAATGGTGTCACTCGGAAGGTACGCCTGGTGGACAGGAGCGAGGAAGGTGATGCATGTTACAATTAAAATCAGTCCCATCTTCCTTTTGTGTATCACCATATTTTGAGTTTTGGTTGCACAACCTGAAACAAACACAAACGTAGACGTCAAAAGATCATTTAAAAAAAACACACACACACAATTGACATAATAACAACTAACCCATCTGCTAAAAATTACAAGACAAATAACTTTTTTTTCAGTTTTGAAATTCAATTGTTAAGACTAAATTGTACTTTTCAAGATAGACGGTCATACGTACCCTTCAGCTAGTGGGAGATCACTTCTAAAAGCTCAACCTATTATTTGGGGAAACAAAGTGCAAGTGTGCTTTGAGAGTTACATATTAACCAACTGCAGTCAGAGTTGTGTTTGGAACATTCAGGGGCTTTTTCAAAGGCGATGCCACAGAAAGTTTCCATAGCTGCACATTAATGTTGAGGTACAATAACTGAGACATGAGAAACTTCAGGAGTGAATGTCACTTTAATCCTGGATCAAGTACTAATACATTAAATGAAAGAACGTGCTATTGTAACACGGAATTTGAGAAAAATGATGAGTAGCGATTGCAGTGAGAGAATCTAATGAGACAGTAGAAATCCAACAACTGCCATTTTACACTCTGTTGCGAGTGCATTTGAAATAAACAAAGCCCAGCAGGTCCAAAGAAAAAATAAATCATAACATTTTCTTGGAAGTTATTCAGCGTTACAAGCAAAACTTTGTGCAATATCCAATACTTTAGTGGAGGCATCAAGATATATCCATGCTGAACAGTCATTAGTTCTAGAAAACATTAACTGTAAACAAACTCAACGGTTTTAATGCTGTATTGTGGTCTATTCATCAAACATTTTTGTTGAGTTGATATTGGTTTCTAAAAAAACAACCTCAAATTAAAAGAAAAAACTCCTCAAAGTTATGTTTTGTTCCATCTTTGGGTTTTAAATGATTCAAATAAGGTTAAATAACAGCAGCCATTCACACTATTTCTTTGTCATTTTGGAAGGTCAATAATCAGCCAATGGTTTTGTAGCTTTAAGCAACAGCAACGTCAGAAAAATAAATGTATTGGCAGAACTAATGTGTCCAACAAGTGTTTTTGTAATATGGGATCAGTCGAGTCACTGCAATTAAAAAGGTTTTCGGAGTAAAACTATTGACCGTTTGTGGAGATACATAAATAAGGGAGTGATCATTTTAACAATCTATTCTTATTGCTAACTTCTCCATACAGTCCGAGACGAATGCTGATAAGAGAAAATAACAGATAAAGACGTCGTTATCATGCTCGTGTTTGACTTTTGGGGTTTTTAAGTGATTATACTGTGCTAAAAAAAAAGAACGATTTCAGCTGCAGTTTCATGCTCTTTTTACAGATTGCTCCTTTGTTCCAGATTCCACACTTATTCTGGACAAGTTATGGATCACCCTGAAGCAATTAAGATTCAGCAAATAGTTTCATAGAATTATGCTTTTCAGCATCCATCAAAAATGGACAAAATACTCTTAATATTGTGAGAGAAGTGTTTGTGAACTGTGTGATCTTAAATTTCATTATGCCTACTTATACACTAAAGGTGATTACAAAGACACAGGATCAAAAATATGCAGTTGCCTACATATCTTAGAAGTTCCCTCTTAGACATCCACAGGTAAACTGATCGATAAAGTCAGGAAATAATAACACACATCTTAGTGGTCCTGGCGAAGAGATTTAACCGCAAGAAATGATTTAACACTGCACTGATGATTAGCAGTGTGTAGAAATCACATCTTATCTCCAACAAACACAAGCCCAATCGAAGGGTAAGGAGGCTCCGTCAATATCCATCTAACCTTTGTCTGTGGTCCTTCCATTGGCCTTTCAAAAACAAACCTCCATAAGGATTCATCCCAAACAAGTAAACCCACTCTTTTGTCTGCTGAAGACTCTCTTGCAGAGAAAAAAAAAAAACAAGAATAAAAAACAGTCTACAATAAAAATAGAAGGCGACATGGTACAAAGGCAATTGCAAACTTGGATTAACTGCATCATGAGTTCCGTGTTCACCCTTTTCCCAGCGTCTCACTGAGTTAGACTTCTTCTCTACAGCCTGTCAGCGAACTAATCAGGGGAAACGTGTCAGCCTTCTGACGGTCCTTTATGTTCGCATGTGCAAAAGGGTTAGAGGAAGCAGCAAAGCTACCCCCGGTATTGGGTGCCACTCTTGGCAGGTGGTGAACAACAAAGGCAAACCTTGCACATCCTCACTGGCTGGGCTTTTGCTCTTGGTCCTCTTCCGCGCCAGTGTTTACTGATCCTTGAAGAGGAGAGAGGCCTTTTGATCATATTCATTAAATAATCTGCACTGTATGCATGCATACAAGTGTACACACACACACACACACACACACACACACACACACACACACACACACACACACACACACACACACACACACACGCACGCACACACGCACGCACACACGCACGCACACGCGCACGCGCACGCACATTTGTTTAAAACAAATGTTAGAAATACCTACCTGAGCCACCTGATGATTTGGTTTGTGGTTGTTGAGGAATGCTTGTCTGAGCCTGTTGCTGCCTGAGAAGTGAACCGTGAGGATTTGTATCAGAATCCATGCATTCATTTTCACTCCAAAAGGGGTTTTACAAAAATTTTTGAATATTTGAATAAGTTCTAAATACAAAAGAACAATCCTCATGACCGCTATTAATGTTCACATAAACAGGTGTTGAATCTGATTAAATCTACCGATCAAAATAGGCCTGTCTCCTCCTCCGCAGTTCCTCGGCTGTGAGAGCCTCGTTTTGGCCGGCTCTTTGACCTCCTGCAGCACTGCCTGCTGCCTGACTCCCTGATTTCACATTTCCCATTTCAGACTCTGAGGATTTGTTGCTCATCACTGCGCCTATAATACAAAATTGACAACAGAAAGTGATCAATAAATGCTGAATAATATTACTTTTATGTAAGGGCAACATTTGGTAAAATGAGACTGTAATCATTGTAAAAGGCCCAATTAACAGTGGAGTATATAAATACATGGATAATTACTTTATTAATCCCATAAGGGGAATTTATTTTATTAAAGATAGAGATACGGTTTATAAAATCCACTGTTTTGTTGATTTCACACATATTTATTTATAAATACAATTCATATGGGCAAAAAAAAGATACATGAAACCCTTTGGATAACTAAATTTACCTTGCATGCTCAGTTGAATGGCCCTGCGAAGATCAGCTTCTTCATCTTCCACATCTATATCCTGTCTGCTGAGTGCCAGAGCTTTTTTCAGCTCATCATCTTCATCAACAACCTCATCCTCGACACCAAAGACCATCTCTGCCTGGCTCACCGCTGCTGACCTACTGCTCACAAAACCAGACCAAAATCAGCTGCCACAAACCAATAGACAAAGCTCAATTTGAGCAACTTGAAACATAAACTATTATCCTCGTCCACGTTGTATTGTCTGCACATACAGTACATACCCTGCACTTGTCTGGGCTTCCTCCTCTCCAATAAGCCTTGGTCGCTGCTGTTGCTGCACCCTCATGATCCCAAGAATTTGCTCTGCTTCACACTCTGGGAGGTTTCCTCGGATCACAAATATGGAATAACCTGCACAGAGCTTCGATTGGTTTCTGAATTGCAAAAACTAAAACATTGCAGCGCAAAAAAGGGCACATTTTACAATACCTTCTTGTTGTAACTGTGCAAGGAAAAGTGCTAGATAGGTGTCCGATATCAACTCTGGTCCAGTCAGCAGTGAATTCAGGTTAAACCACTGCAATGACAGTAAAAGTATAATCCCTCATTTAAAGTTGTGTTAAAATAGTTGAATTGTTTGTTCGGAGGCGCCTCATACCTGTTGTCCAAGTTTCCGTATAGTAAACCAGTGCTCCTTGTAGTTGCAAATGAAGGCGTTCTCATTTCTGAAACATGAAAGTAGGCATTGCTGTAACCTTCATCATAAAATGGTATAGGATCATAGATGAAGACATTAGACAATAACGTGTTGAAAACTTTACATTGGATTAATCATCAGGCTCTGGTACTCCCGGCTGTTGAAGAGGATTAACTCTAAACCCCACACTCTCAGTGCATTGCTAATTACCTAGAGGAGTTAGATGAGAGAAAAGGTCATTTGCATCACTAACGCATAATGGTTAACAACAATAAAAAAAAAATAGAGTCCCTCACTTGTATTGAAAAGAACCCGCTGTCATCCATGTTGCCGGACGGTTGCTAGAATCAAAATTAGAGATCATAAAGTTAGAAACTGCTGAGGTACATAGAAGTATGTAAACAGGCGGCTGCACTAGCATTCACTTGAATGCTTCCTCACCTGCAGGAAGGTCCTATACTCCTCACTGGCCATCCCGCCTTCAGCCATCCTCATCCGTTCCTCTTCATCGAGCTGATGAGCAATGGAGGACAGATCCACAGGAGTGAAATACTCACCCTGCAGCAGGTTGTTGAGGCAGTGTTGGGCGCAAAGAGAGCCCTCTTGCTGAAAAAAATGAAAAGGTTTGGATATTGAGAAGACCCCCGTAGCTAATTACAAGTCTAACACGACGACGTAGTTTTCTTAACAACTTAACGTTAGTTATCTTTAAGGACATGGAACTAAGCAACGTAAATAGCAAACTGTGATGGAGTTGGTCGGTCCCCACGGCAACAGTTGAACATGGTCAGAGCCACATACAGCTAGCTTACGCAAACAAACAACAATTAATAACGTTGACCATTTATACAAAGGACACATAGCGAGTTCGTTTTCTAACTGGACAAAAAACAACACGGTTGCAGCCGTTGGGAAGCTCTCTGCGTCTTAAGCAGACGCCGAAATAAAACTTTTTCATGATCTCTGATTAGCAAGTGGAGTTAGCATTCTAGCCTGTCTGGAAAAACAATACTGCCAAACACCACAAATCTCTCCACTCCGGCCGCACAGCGCCGGTGAACAAATCTCCGCTGGAAGATCCAAGAATTTCCGGAAAAGACGCGACGGATTACTCTTGGCTTCGTATTTTAATTTGAACGTTTCAACTTACTTTCTCATGAAATATGGAATCCATATTCAGCTTTCTGTCAAACATTGAACTCTGACCTCTAGCGCGCGCCCCCCCGCTCTCGTTCCATCATACAAGGAAGAAGGCGGAATGTCGATCAGCGCCCTCTAGCTGCCGGATGCCCACAGCGCACTCCCGCCTCCACCGGCGCATTTATGCCTTTAACAGCTGCGACGTCATTGAAATCTCAAGCTGTGAGCAACGTCACCATGAAATAAAGTCACTACGTCGTTTCGTAGAGCGAGAGAGAGAGAGAGAGAGAGAGAGAGAGAGAGAGAGAGAGAGAGAGAGAGAGAGAGAGAGAGAGAGAGAGAGAGAGAGACCCCGGGTACTGTATTCAACCCGCGTCCGTAATTCAACGACCTTTGGCCAAAAATATAAAGATTGTGTCTAAGCGCTACCTAATAATTGCCTAATTGTATTATGTATGTATCGTAGACCGCCGCCAGGGGGCGACTGCGGCGGATGTTTTTTGTTTACAAAAAATGTTTTGTTTAGAATAATATAATCAAGTTTCCGATTTGAGTAACTCATTACACTAACGCTAAGGTAAAAAGGAGATGGCTTGTAAATGCTTGACCTCACCTACACATTTCGAAGACTTCTATTTGTATTGTAACGTCGCAAAAGGCTTGGATACAAGTGGAGCAGTTTCCTGGTGACACCTCCTCCTTTACGGCAAATGGAATATGGCGGAGGGTGAGAAATCACTAGACGGACTGGACCTCAGCAAGGTATGATTTTCACACAGCTAAAACGTCTCTCGGTGGTTGTTGACACCCGGGGACAGCGGACTACGATGCAATGCACGAGTCTCTTTTGAAGACGTTGTGTGACCGCTTAGTTAAAGGGCATCTGGTAGCCGGGCTAGCTCTCCAGCCTAGCTGCCGTGCTAGCTACCTGCCGTTAAACGTCTAAAAGGTCCCTGCAGAGGCTGCGGTGTTTACCTGCTCGTCAACGGTGTTGTTTCGCTGCGTTTCGTTGTCATCACGTGTTGTGGTTGTCAATTTGCTACGCCGTGCATGAGTGTTTGTTCGCCAACCCCTTGGTGTTTTTCTATTTTGTCGCTTTGTCCACAACGCTTAAACGTGTGATTTCCATTAGTTTGAACATTTAAAGCACCGTTTTGCTGACTGTTTTCCGACCTCAGACTCTTACGTGGAGGTGATCACCGTTATTTATTTACGGTGTCACGCTTGTCTTTTTGGTAATAAAACCCGTAGTCCCCGTGTATAGTGTGCATAGGACACTTCAGATAGTATCTTCCAGTGCTGTTAAAAACCCCTTAAAAAGAGCTGTTCCGGCTTGTAAACTTGAAATGGAAATGCTCATAGAGGAGTACACGTGTTTTGAACATGGTATTGTCTAAAATCGTGCATATATTTTGATTCCTCTGAACATATTTTGATATCATCTTAAACTACTAAATGTCTCAGCTTACATTTTC